CTAGCACTAACTAAGGATGCCCTTGGGCACCCCAATTGTTCATCGATGAAGAAGTGACCCATCATCCTAAACAGAAGTTACTAAATCGAACCCCACAAAATTAGGTAAAGATGTGGAATCGAACAGAGAACAAAAAGAAACTGGAAGCAACGAAAGATGCGGCGACAACGACCGCCCCAAGGAGGGGGAGGAGCACCGACGCACGTCAGCGGGAGGTGTCGAGATCGTCATTGCCATCCATTGGAGTAGCTCTCAACCATTAACACGCGCATCGTCTTCTTCACCTACCGCAACCATCTCATCATGCTCACCAAACCCCTCCCCCTCCCCCTCTTCCCCTCCCATAGAATAATCCAACAACAGCAATCTCCTCATTCTTCTGCCGTCATCATGTCCACATCTACTACTCGCATCTCGACCTGCGAGCATCGCACCCATCGATCGAAACGGGAACCAATCGAGGATCTAACAATGGGCAATCCCCTAACTTTTCGAAATCTGGGTGCGCCTTGCATCCGTGGGAACGTGCTTCTCGAGCCCGGTATTTCGGGCCTAGAATCAGGTCAAGGATCTGGGGTTTCCAGGTGCCGACCAGGACCTACTGTTCCTTATTATCATCATCATCAAGAGCTTGTTTGACAAGGCCTCGGAGATCGTTCTGCTAACGTCTTTTTGGTAGGTGTTGACATGGACAAAGCATGTCGTAGAGACAAGTTTAGTGTCGTGGCTTGTCAAACGATTGACGTTTGGAATCGATGATCAACTTGGGCACCTTGAGAGAGATCAAGACAACAGCTTCCATTTCTATTCTTTTATTTTATTTTTCTATCATTTCCCCGATTAGTGCACAGCGCATTCGTCTCGTCGCTCACATTGATTAGGCGTTATTTAGAAACGTCGAGGAAACTTTTAAAGATATTTAAATATTTGCCAAAATATTTAGGATATTTTCTCTTATTCTTTTATATTTGTGGTGATTATGCATGTCTAATTTTGATGTCCTTAAATAATCATCTAAAAAAGCCTATTCATGTGCTCTTTTCTATATGCACATTGAAATGTACATAAATTTCACATTTTTTCTCTTTCTGAAGAAATCCTCAAGGAAACTCTAAATGCACCCCGTACACACCCAAATAAATCCATCCCGCACTTCATGTGCATGATGGTTGTATTCTGACGCCAACCGCATCGACTAGTTGAGTGTGTCCCGTTCGAATATGCACTAGATGACTTGGGTGACCTTAGAATCGACTAGCTCTGATACCAAGATAAGAATAATGCGAAAGATAAGAATTGAGAAATTTCAATATTTCGATATATCATATTGAGTACATCAGCCTATTTATAGACTTTATTTGATGATTATCTATAAAAATCAAATCATATATGCATAATCAAAATAAATATGGAAAATCAGAGGAAATATCCTAACTATCTCCATCATATATTTAAATGTCTCTTAACATCCCCTCAAATTCAAAGTGTATAGAAGATGTTAACTTGAGTTTCGATACAAGTCTAAACAGAAGTCTGAACAGCGTCCAGCTGTGGCAGATGAGGCGGTGTTTGGCGGCTGTTCATGGCAAAACTTCCAAATCTAGCTGGTCTGAAGACAACGAGTCTAGTGGAGGTGTTGGCTTTTTGAAACGACGCACGAAAGGTCGAGAATCAAATGGGAAACGGCAAGCGGCCGATGCGGCTAGCTTGCGAGACAGTAAATGAGCGACGTGGGCTGGCTATACGGCTAACGTCCTAGCATCAATGATTACAGGGCGACGTGAAGCCACCTCCGTGAAAAAGGCTCGACCGATTAAAGTGATTAAATATCTCCAACCGAAACAATCCCAATCTAATTCCCCAAATCCAGCGGCGCTTAGTTTGTGCAGTTTTGCAAAGAAGTTGAGCAGACACGAGAGGCGGATTTGCTAACCCGGGAAGATTCATAATGAAAAAGTTGACAATGCGCAACCTAACTATTACAATATGGTAAACAGAAAAAGACATCGTGTGGCTCAATCTAGACGTATGACTCCACCTAAGTGGTGATCATCGTTTACCCATATTTCAGCTTGACTTCGCAGTTGTAGTCCTCCTTTTACCAAAAAGCATGCACTTCTTTCCACCAAAGATATTCCATTGAAAATAATAAATATCCAAGAGAAATATCTATTTTGTCGCAATTATTGACGGCACCCTCATACTATTTTCAAAACTCCATGCTTATTTGCTTGAACAAGTATTATTATGCGCCAAAGCTCCCAACGACTACACGCAAGCATCTCTCGTCACGACTCGCCAGTCGAAAGAACGCTAGCTTGAGCCTTTCTTATGAATGACTTCAGCGAAATATCCTTTGCAAACTTATTTTAGTAAACTAAAGACCCCATTAGTATCGATTGATCAAAGCATGATTTGCAATCGACGTAAATAAATAAAGGGAGAGGGGAGTGGGGGAACAAAAGGAAGGAGAAGGGAAAAAGGCGAAGAAAAAGTTTGACAAGATCATATTTATATATACTTTCAAGTTCATAGCGTGGAGCAGTTATTCAAAAAATAAGTTGTTCTAAAGAGCATTCTCGAGGCAAATTCTTTCGCCAGCTGTGTTCGCACGTTGGCATGGGAATCCATTCCATCTTATTGATCGACTAATCATGAACTCATTCCGGTCGCACCTTGATTGCGAAAATTTCGGCTGCCGCCGCGCCAAACCGTTAAAAACCATTGATAGATCCCGTGTGAAGGTGAACAGACAGACAGACTCGTGAATGCCATGCAATGGTGTGATAAAGAAACAGGGGTGAAGCAACCTATGGAAACACAGCAGGGACGAAGCCATGTCAACTGAAAGAGGGCCGTACTCGATGCTGATTAGCGGATGCGTTCCTGGGAGCAGTTCATTGTAACGGGTGAAGTAGAATTAAAGAATTCAACAGAGAAAAGGATGCGAATACGGGACAGGACCCCGGCAGCTAGCCCAAAAAAACCAAACCCTAACGTGCGGGGATCGCGTGCTCTGTTCGAGGACGGACAATGCAGTGTGGTCCTCTCATGCCCACCTGCCACTTGCCAGTCCTGAGCTGAGCTGAGCTGAGCTTCGGGTCCAACGCACGCGTTCACTGGTGCTCTTTACAAGGTGGATGCATCACGTGTAGTTTCCCCTGGTCCATGTGCTCAGGGACAGTGAGGTGTCGTCCATGCTCTTTAGGTACCTACTCTACTGTTTCTAAATCGGATTTTGTTAAGAGGGGCACGACGCTATTACTAAATAGGATTAATATAACGAAAAATTCCAAATCAGTATATTCATGACAAACTTTCCTTAAACTAATTTTTTGACCATAAAAAACGCCAAATTGGTGCATCCGTGATAAATTCACCATCCGTTAGTTTCCGTTAAATTGTACTGTCGGTTTACTGAGTTAGATGACATAATGAGTGTACTGATTTGGAGTTTTGCCCTTCATTTTATCATAAGTGTATCAATTTGGAAATTTTCGTGATATTACTCCAATCACAAAGGAGTAGATGTGGGAATTTTTCAAGTATTGTGACATTTCCTGTGATATGCATCGCTAAAATTATGAAAATTAACTACTTCTCAATTAAATATGTTTAATGGTAGCCGAGTTTACAAAATCGTTTCTGACGAGAGACGTATTAGGAAATTTCTCAATTAAATATATCTTAAAGGAAATTTCTACTTTTTCATGATAAGGGATAAGTGCACCGGAAGTTTTAAAATTTATTACGAAGTACAACTGAATCTTAAAGCTTTCAAAAAGTGCAATTAAATCTTCATACTTGTCTTGTCACGAAAGTGCAAACTTTTAAAAAGTGCAATTAACGGAATGATTTGATTGGATCAATTTGATAAGTTTTATGTCTTGATTGCACTTACTCAATTACACTTTCGTGACAAGTTTTAGTTCTTGATTCCACTTTTTGAAAGTTGTAGGTTTCAATTGCACTTTCATAATAAGTTTTAATTACTCACGATACATCTATTCCTTACGATAAAGGAAAAGTTCATTTCCAAGCACTGATCATTATATATATCACGAGTAAATGTCGTTTCTTTAAAGTACATGAAAGCCCCGAAACACTCTGTGAATCTTACAAACTAGTCCGGTCAGGTTCAGATCTCCTGTTGTGCAGGTAGCTCTAACTCCTAACGATTTACCAACCCAAGTAATTGTAAGATGCGAATATTGCAAGGCTTCCCCACTTTCCGGGGTTAAAAAAATTCCTGATTCTAAGCCCGTCGATAGAAGCGCCCCCCAGTACTACCAGCAGAACATATCGGGTCCTGGGACAGAGACCTCGATCACATAAAAAAGAAAATTAGACACGTTATTCTCGCCGAATCCAAAATCACATCGAAATCAAATGAATAATACGCTCCATCTAGGAGCACCACATCTCACCTACCGCCCGCTCTATATAAATGAAAGACATTAACTTGTCCGGGCCCCATCGCCATCGCCAGGTTGTCACGTACACGTCCACACGAAAGAACGCTGTTCTATTCTCTCCTGTAGCGGGCCTCGTAGGAGCGAAACAGAGCAATGATGAATATAGATAACGAAATTGTAATTTGATTTTGCAGTTTAACCAGAATACAGAGATCTCCAACATTCGAGAAAAGAGAGGAGAGGGGCGAAAGTGTGGGACTGTTTTCTTTCAATGAATCTGAACTGAACTCGGTTTTACCCAGTCCCATGAGCACAACAGCAGGAGAAGAGACAAGAGAGAGCGGGTAAACCGTGGGACTCAGATTCTTACACGTAAACAACCCACGAATTCAGACGAGCCTAACATCATCATCTCCTTCGTCCTTCCCTACTGACGCAGCTTCACATATTTACCCACCAACTCGGATTTTGATATCTTGGCTGGTGTTTCACAATTCATTCACGAGCAAACCCAACCCAACCCAACCCAACACCCAACACCCCCATTAAAGAAAAAGAAAGATCGACAAAGAAATGAACCAATAATGGACTAGGAAGAAGAGAAGGTAAACGGAAAAATCCTCTGTTTGTGCAGTAGACGGTAGTTAATGAACACTTGCTCTGTTTATTTTTGCGAATTTTTTTTTTCTTTTTATTTTACTATGATTTCGATTCTGCTTTCTTGCGGGGGGGAAGGAGGGGGGGGAGGGCTAATCTCCTCGGGAAGGACACCATGGCGTCATGTCCATGGGGTAACTCCCCAGGACCCTGAGGAAGGACGTGAACTCCTGCACTTCGGCGAGCGCGTTCTGGGCCCTGACCTCCGCGAGCGACGCCTCGAAGTCGACGTAGAACATGTACTCGAAGTGCTTCGCCGTGCCGACGTTGGCGTCGTCGACGAGCCGGATGGGCCGGTTCCGGTGGGGCCTGGACTCGATCTTGGTGAGGCTGATGTTCCGGAAGGCGAACGCGGAGAGCACCTTGAACAGCACGCTGGTCCCCTCGTCGTGCGCGAACACGATGCTCGTCTTGAACGGCCGGTCCGTCCGTGGGATGATGGGCTCGCGCGCCAGCATCACGAACCGGGTCACGTTGCTCGAGTCGTCCTGGATCCCGTCCGCCAGGATCTGGAGCCCGTACAGCTCCGCCGCCCGCACGCTCGCGATCGCCGCCGTGTCGCGGAGGTTGTTGGCCGCGATGTACTCCGCGGCCCCGGCGGTGTCGTCCACGGCCTCGCGCGCCGCCTGCGGGGCCAGCTTCGTCAGGGTGTGCTCGCACTGGGCGAGCGCCTGCGGGTGCGAGATCACGCGCGAGAGGTACTCGACGCGCGTGCCGGGGAGCGCGAGGAGGCAATGGTGGACGGGGAGCTGGACCTCGCCGACGATGTGGAGGCGGTGGCGGAGGAGGAGGTCGTAGTTCCGGTGGATCGAGCCGCCGAGCGAGTTCTCCACCGGCAAGACGGCGCGGTCCGCGATCCAGAGCTCCACGGCCTGGAAGGCGACCTCGAACTGGTCGCACGGGATCGCCTCGCAGTTCGGATACGCCTTCCCGGCGGCCGCCTCGGAGTAGGCCCCGGGGACGCCCTGGTACGCCACGCGGAGCTGCGAGCCGTGCATCGGGGCCGGGGACAGGTCCGTGATGGTGAGCGGCTTCGGCGGCTGGGGGGCGGTCGGGGAGAGCTTGTTGTTGGCCTCGATGGGGACGAGGGTGAGGTCGACGGCCGCCTTGTGCCCGTTGACGGAGGCCACGATGTCGGGCCGGCCGCCGCCGGCTTCGTCGGCGGTGGACGGGGGCGGCTGCTTGTCCTGGGAGATGATCTTGCTGGCGAGGATGGCGCAGGAGCTCTGCCAGTCCGCTTTGCAGGAGCCCACCCCGTTGGGGTAGTGGACCGAGTCGGACCGGTACGCGCACCGGGCGCCGTGGCCGCGGGCGGCGGGGGCGGCGGCCACCTGGGCGAGCTGCGGCGGGCGCGGGGCTGCCCGGATGACGGACCGGAGGCTAGCCGGGGTTTGAGGGGATAGAGACTGCATCTTCTCTCGTGTGGGGGGGAGAACGGCGCACCTCGAACGAGACCCAAAGATAGGAGAAATTGGGAGAGAGGAGAGACGTGAAGAAGAAGCTAGGAGCAAATTTGCTAAAGCTAATGGAGATACTAAAAAACAAGAAACCAAAGGGAAGGGGCTTGGAGTTTCTTCTCGGGGAGAGAAGGGAACCTCAAGCTGAGGAGGCAGGGAGAGAGAAGCGGGTGTTCTTATACGAGGGGAAGTTGGAGGGGAGAGGGAGTAGCGGGGAGGAGAGGATTGGTGAGGAAGTGGTTCGGTCAATCTCTCACCTACCCCCCCCCTTCTCCTCCTTCTCCTTTGCCTCCTCCTCCTCTTTTCCACCCCCTATCTTTTCCTTCATTTTTCCATCGCGTTTCGACAATCAAACATGTGCCCCATCGCGCGTTTCAGGGCATGAAAGTTGAATCGAACTTTAGCCCGATTTACGGCTGCCCTTTCCCCCCCTTTCGTTTTCCACGACGTCGCTTCGAGCGTCCCGTCTCCGGCGCATCGGATTTGACTGCTCGGCAAACATTAACTTGGACCCGTTTTTCGAATCCGCGTTTTCGGCGCAGCGGGTGCGAATTTGTTCCTCTCCAGCGGGATGGGTTTATGGTCTCTCGGGGTAATCTTGCGCCGGCGGATTGAAATGATACGGATTTTGGCAGTCCGACGCGTCTCGGCGGTCCAAGCCCGACTTTTTGATGTGGAGGTAATGCGCCCTTGAGGGGCCATAGGCTCGGCCCCCCTTCTTTATCCTACTAAAAACAAACTCGCTAGGTCACGAGTAAGTATGCCGCGAGTGTATTGAGTGCCGTAAAACGGTAACGAAACCGTTCGAACTATCTAAGGTGGGACATTGTGGCGCGATCCTTTCGAAATGGACGAATCGAATACAATCTCCGGTACAAACGAAATGGCTTCACCCTATAATTGTCCGTTAGATCGTGCGGCATCCATGGCCACACGCCTTCCCGGCAATTCATGTCGAACATGTGAGACACAACAGATGAGATAAAGTTAAAGGTCAGTAGGTCACACATGACACACGCACACACATACTTCCCTTGGAAAATTTCAGGTCTTCGTCTTCGTCACGTCTTCGCGTGACTGCCTTGCAATTGCAATTGCAGCCTTTTAGGCCCTTCCCATCTTTTTCCCGTGCCTTTTGCGTTTAGGGACGAAGATAGCGCGAAACGTCATAGACCGTACGTGTTGACATCCCAAAAAATCCCGTTATTATCGATAAGCGACAGGCTTAGTCAATTTGATAAGAGCTTAGTGAAAACAAAAATCATCGATGAACTGAACAATCGACATTTCAAAGGAAATCGACAACTCGCCCTATAAAGTCATTGATGATTGACATCGCTCATTATTTACGAGAACCTTCGCCAGTCATCGAGGTCATCGACACCGGCATGAAACTACCGGATACTAGAGTCCATAATTTCGGATTTGTAACTTCTGATGGATAACTTCTCGTGTATTTTGTATAAGAGTTGCGATGAAATGCACGTGGTTGAAGAGCTACGACTGCAAGATCGGTCTCTCATTGGACCACAGAAGCCCCCTCCGCTTATAAGGGGTAACAACGAAAATTATGCAAAGTCAAAATGCCCACTCTGCCTAATTCACTGTTATAAAACCAAAGAGAAGTGGTCCCCGTTTTAGGCTCGGAACATCTTAATCTAATTTTCGGCTCCGTTTGTTTCGCAAAAAATAAATGATTCGAAAAATATTTTCCAAAAAATGACCGCTTGAAATAATTAGTCAATAGAAAATATTTACATTATTAGCAACAATTTATATCTAAATAATTTCGTGGACAACGAAAATATTTTTTGCTATTCATTTTTATAAGTAATTCAAGCGATCATTTTTTGGAAAATATTTTCCGTGAAATAAACGCACCCTTAAATGGAACATCTCGATAGAATGGTATGGAATTACTGTATTTGGTAATAAGACATTAAGTCAAGGGAATGGAATTGAACAAGAATGCATTGTACTCGTATTATGATGTAATAATTGACATGCCATAAACAAGTCCTAACTACAATTAATAACAAATTATAAAATTAATTCAATATTAAGTAATTTTTTTGATATAGTTTAAGACTGGATACGATTATTGTATTTGGTAATAAGATCTAGGAATGGAATTGAACAAGAATACATTGTACTCGTATTAATGATGTAATAATTGATATGCCCTAAACAAATCTTAACTACGATTAATAACAAATTATAAAATTAATTCAACAGACGTTAAGTATATTTTTTATATAGTTTTAAAATTTATAACTTTGGTGTTATTTTTATCTTGATGTCTTGATTGTACTAATTATCAATAGTTAACAATTTTTTAGCGATTCAATTTTAATTAATAAATTTTTCAGTTACCAAAAAAGGAAAGAAATTCCTCCACTTAGGTGGAGAACTCAAAAAAAGTCTCTTGTGCTCTAAATAGGCATAATTATACGAAAACCCTAATATCTCCGGCAACTCCCTCTCTCTCTCTCTAAAAAAAAACACCTTCCTCAAAGAAACTTCATCTGCAGAGAACCTGCTTTGCTCTGTTTTTTTTTTCTAGGCCTTGATTTCCTGTTTTTTCTCTCCCGATCTGATCTAGTAGTTTTTTCCACCTCGTTTGGCTTCTTCATTTGTTCATTGTGCTGCTTTTCTTTGCTCGTCATTGTGAATAAATCTGCCTGCAATTGAAAATTTTGTGAGAATGTCATCACCACTCCAGCCAGCAATGTGCTTGGGACATGGTTCTATGACTTCTATGAGATCGGCAAAAGCTCTCCTCTCCTGATTTAGGTATAGATATAAATTTGAGAGCTTTTTCCTCTCGATCTAAATCTAGATAGTGGGGTTTCTTAGAGGTGTTTGATATTATCGTGTTGTTGTTGTCTCTGCATGGCCATGGTGTTGCGGATGCCGAACCTTGGCGCGCACTACAAGCCAATGTTTCAGGAGGGGAAGATCTCGACATGTGACCATTACCGACCATTCCGGTGATCGGCCGTAGAGTGACAGATTTGGTCTTTTGGGATGAGAGCATGCTTATGGCTGCAAGCTATACTAATTTGTTTTCTAAGTGTTTTTTTTGCAGCTCTTTTGAGATTTGCTTTGCTTCGAAGCTTTTTATATTTCTCTCATGTTTGATTCTAACAAATGAAATTTTATTTCGACCAAAAAAGGATGTAATGGCATGTCGTTTGTCTTTGGTACCTATACCCAAGATGGAAAAAAGAAAAGGACAGTAAATGCCTACATTTTTCACATATTTGGCACATAGGACTCTCGTCTAGTCCTCAACGCCAAGACTCGAGAACCAACGTTAAGATTTCCGTGCTCAAATGTAGAGTTCGGGTCCAAGCGCCGATACCTAGTCATATTTTGAAAAATATTTTGCGGTTTTCAAAGAGGAAATCATTTTCTTAAATTTAAGTATATGTTTTTTGTTAACTAAGAAAATATTTTCCGTTGACTCATTTTCCTAAACGAACCAAACACTGAAAAATGGGGAGAATGTTTTCCCACCAAAATATTTTTCGCGAAACAAACTGAGCCTAAATTTTATTATTGGATTTTGTTTTTGGGGGTCCTTAAGTTTTCAAGGGAGAAATTGTCCATTCCACCATAAACCTATTGTACATATACCAATTTAGTTATAAACTATATAATTTTATCAATTTAATCCTAAACATTTACGTAAAATTCCAATGCAGTCATTTCGGTCAATTTTCGCTAGAAATTGCCGACATAACAGCTTGTAACGTAAAACGACCGGCAATAATTAGACCGTCATGTTAGCGATTTTTTGGCAAAAGTTGATTGAAATAACTATATTGGAATTTCACGCATAGGTTTAGGATTAAATTGATAATATTGAAAAGTTTATGATTGAATTGGCATTCGTACATGTTTCGCCGGTTTTTTACTCCGTCGAAAATCTTTCACCGAACGCTGCGTTTCGAATTTTATTAGAGGAGACCGGGGTCTTGAGTCAAGCTTGGACAAAGAATGTCAAATGCGTTTATTAATCCCAATTGAGATCTTACACCATGACTCGATATGATACCCAACTCGATAATACTAACAATGAAACGACAACTTGCAAATACCGAGACCAAGCTATGTCGGAATCTAATTAACGACACAGCTAATATGCGGTATTACCATTTAAGGTACGCCAGAATCTAATCAATGACGTAACTTGAGAGAATATAACTGGAATCTAATCAACAGCTATATTCCAAGCACAACGCCGAAATTTAATCGACGACGCCGAACTAATAGCACAACATTGGAATTTAATTAACAATGTTGAACCTGATAAAGACTCTTGCCGGAATTGAATCTACGACGCAGAATCTGAAAATTATAGCTAAAACTACTCCTAATGTGCTAAAAGTAAAGCTTGATAAAAGATATGTTGTGTTGTTTGCGAAAAGGTCCTTTCCTCGTTGGAAATCCTTGAGTATTTATAGAGCAACTTGATAACTGTTGACCGCACTTCTCCTTGAAAGTCGATTTCCACTTCCTTACGTTTCGCGTTTTAACCGCTTCCTGACTTATCGATGTTGCTTACGCTCCTTGGGCATCACGCAGTAGCTAATTTTCTTCCACGTGTCTCTTTATTTCTCCCTTGATCTTCACGCCCACGGTCATATCTTTACCTTTTGACACGTGTAAATGAATTTTCCGTCACATATTACCATGATTCCGTGCAAAGCTCGTGATCTTGGATTCGTCGACGTCACGTGCAAAGCTCGTGATTTTGGATTCGTCGACATCACGTGCAAAGCTTGTGGTCTTGGATTTGTCGACGTCACGTGCAAAACTCGTGATTTTGGATTCGTCGACGTCACGCGCAAAGCTCGTGATCTTGAACTCGTCGATGTCACGTGCATGGCTCGTGATTTTGAACTTGTCGACACCTCTATGACGTGTCTTATCGACAATTACTTTAGGTCTTCTTAACGCCTCTGGGCCTGACTTG